AGGCAGTGATGGAGCTGGGCTGGGGTGTCTCGGGTCGCTGCACCCATTGCTCGTCAGCGTGAGTTGGGACGCGGGTGCTCAGGGCTGTGGCTGTCTGACTTCCTGCCAGCTCCTGCCTCAGCCCTGGGTGGCGAGAAAGCGGTAGTGCTTGCCCTGCCTGGGGGGCACCAGGGTCCCTGGGCTTGCCCCCCTTTAGCCATGGCTGGGCAGGATTGCACGGGGAGGGTCCTGGGGAGCAGCCTACGGTGCAGGGACCCCGATCGCTCCAGCTGCAGGGATCCCAGTGCCCGCCTGCACCTGGGCTCTGGGCTGTGCTGGGCAGCCCCCCCCGGCTGCGGTGCCCCCATGCTCCATGCAAGGGGAAGTGGCCCTGGCCGTGCAGCCCCAGCACCAGTGCCTGGCACCTGGTTTGGTCCCTGCCACCTGCGGGGAGCATGGGGGACCGGCAGTCCCAGGGGACGCTGGCAGCAGGGGACCAGGGACCTCTGCGCATGCTGCACAGCCCTGGCCCAGGCCCGCACGGCCCTCTTATCCAAGACCCCAGGGCCATGGGGAGCCGGCCCAGGGCACAGGAGCCCCGTGAGCACCAGGCCGGGCTGCAGGAAGCCCTTCTCCCTGCTGGCAGGGGATGCTGTGCCATCAGCCCGAGCATCTCTGTGCACCTGGGGCTCTGCGCCCTGTCCGGTGCCGCTGGAACGAGCCTGCAGCAGGCAGGAGAAATGGCCCCAGCGGGCCCTGATTACCAGCCCGGCACCTCGTTAGCCCAGGGGCCTGCTTATAATCAGGAGCTGTTGCAGGGCTCGGCTGGCTGTCCCTGGCCACCCCTGCATGCCCCTGCCCCTGCCCCGCACTCCCTGGCAGCTCCTGGCCCACGGCAGGGGTTGGTGAGTGCCCACATCCTGGTCCCGCACCTGCTCTGGACCCTGGTGAGTGACTCTGGACCTGGATTGATCCTGACCTTGCCTGTTGCTGATGCCCTGGCGGTGCCCGGGGGCTCCAGCACTGCCTGCCCGTGTCCTGGCCGTGGTGCGCGGCAGCGGGCGGCCCCAGCAGCTCAGGGCAGTGTGGGCTTCTGTGCCCGTGCAGCCCTGGGTGCTGCTCCCCAACCCAGACCGGGAGCTGTGCCCAGGCATGTGTGGGCTGCTGGAGACACCTCCGTCCTCGTGCAGCGATGTCCCCAGGCTCAGTGGGAGCTCCGGCCCCGGGCCTGGGAGAGGGGACCAGCGTGTGGGGCAGGAGCTGTGAGGCAGGGCAGGTTTGTGCAGCGCTCGGTTATTTGGACCTCGTCACTACTTTCCAAACAAAGCCCAGGATCCTGGGGACGTGCTGGTGCAGGCCAGTGAGTTTGGAAAATGTCGGCACCCCCAGGGACCAGTAATTCACGGGTACTTGGGCAGGAAGCTGGAACAAAAGGAGCAGCAGTCCCCCGCCCAAGGGAGTCACCTACCTGACCTGCGCATCCAGCAGCCAGAGGCCGAAAGCAGAGGGGGAGCTGGGCAGACCCCAAGTAGCAAGGCCGCGTCTCGGGGTCTCTGGGGGACCTCTGGGCACCAGCCCCACGGCATGCTGCACCCAGGCCAGCAGATCCTGGTGGGCCGAGGGGTCCCGGGGTGGAGGAGGCCGGGCAGGGAGCGCTCACCTACGTGTCGCTGGCCGGCCGCGGGCTGGGGCCTGGCCCAGGGAGCGAGGAGCCCCGCCAGCAGCAGCAGGCCAGCACATTGCATGGTGCCGCGGTGCCCAGCGCCC